ATCGTGTTCATTTTTGTGATTTGGTTAAGCATTTGAACTTTTTTCGCAGCACTCAAAATATTGTTTTTATAACATTCATAAAAATAATATTCACAAGATTGTGAAGCAAGTGCAAATTCTTAGGCAAATCACAAAAAATAATCTAAAGTGTTTGGCTCACAGCATCTGAATACTAATTGTTTTCATTATTTTAAATTTTCTTATAAATTTATGTCCAAAGTGCTATTTTAAAAAGGGCTTATCATTTTTTAAAGGTCTAGCCTAATGTGCAACATTATCTAATACTAATAATATCTATGAGGTTAGAAGGCGGCTGCTAAAACTTAACGATATACGCTGGTTGATAAACCTTTTTGTGGAATATTATCTTATTGTGGCAGAACATGCGAACTTTTTTTCTAAATAATAGATCTTTACTTATGCAGTACTGAAAATATCAAATCAATATAATTTGTGTTGGCTATCTATTCTAATTTCAAATTAATTTTATTATAAAACATGGAATATTTTTTCAAAACTTGTCATTCGTTTATGGATTAGCGTTATGCTTTCATCGTCATCATGGATATGTTAAAAATTCAAGTAATTATAGGTTATGAGTACCGTCGTGGCTGTAACGCGGCACATGCGGCACGCAACATCAACGACTTTTACGGAGCAAATACTACAAACAAACGCACCACCTGTTACTGGTTTGCCAACATCCGTTCTGGAAATTTCGACCTGAAAAATTAGTCCGAAAACTTTGGTCGAAAATGTCGAATTAAAGGCGATTGTGAAAGTTGATGATACTCAATCTACGGCTGAATTAGCAGCAGCATTCAACATTAGCATAAACAATATTGGTGCATTTGCGTCAAATTGGCAAGGTAAAAATTTTGACAGTTGTGCCCACAATCTAAATGGGCGCCGCGAGAAGTACACGTCGAGACGTTTCTTGCACTGCTCAAAAGGCACACAAACGAAGGAATTTTGAGCCGTATTGTTACCTGCGACGAAAAATGGATTCTGTTTGACAATCGCAAGTGCTCAGCATGTTGGTTGGATGCTGGTTAACCCAACCTAAATAATGCCCTAAACTAAAACTTACCCCTAGCAAAGTAATGATCACTGATTGGTGGTCTAGCACAGGTGTGATTCATCACAGCTTCATACCAAACGGGATGAGCATTACCGCAGTGTGTACCGTGAAGAACTGAAGAAAATGATGGAGAATCATTTTCTTCAGTTCGTCACGGTCTCACGTCTCCAACCATCTATGGTCAATCGCACGTCCCTGCCGCTCCTGCACGACGAAATGCGACCTCACAGTGCACAACAGACGGTCTAAAAGTTACAAGAGCTGGGGTTGAAAGCTCTCAGTCACCCGCTGTACTTACCAGACCTTGCGCCTACAGATTCTACTTTTTCCAGAATTCGGATATCTTTTTATCGCGAAAATATACAATACCCGAGAGACAGTACAAAATGCCTTTGAAGAATTTGTTGCCTCCCCTTCTGGTGATTTTTTCAAGAGTATAAAATTTACAAATTAACAATTACATAAATAAACTGCCACTGCGCTGGAAATGTTGCATCGATTGCATGGGTGATTACTTTAGTATAAATAAAAGATATATAAAAAAATTATGTTAACTTATTTCATAAAAAAAGAAATTTCTAAATCTGCTAATGGACGTGATTCTTACTTCAAGGACCCAATACAAAGCTAATAAAGTACTTCAGTGTTTAGAAATTTCGAATAAATAGCATGTGTCGCAGTCGTATGTGAACGTCTCCGTCCATGTGTTAAGAATTTGAAAAGCTTGTTGTGTAAAAAACTGTATAGGAATGTGTGATTTTTTTGCCTTTTTATTATAAAGTAGTGTATATTGATGTAAATAAATTACATTTATTTTATTAATTAATGATTTTCTTGTTTAATTTTCACGAAATATGTACAGAATACTATTAAAAATTCGGTTGCCTAACTTTGAAAATTGGAATAATAAAACTCTTAGGTTGTATTTAACTTAGATAACTACAGAGCAATAGTAAATAATATAATAATTCATATGACATAAATCTTATACATAGCTTCCATACAATTTTTTAGAGAAATTATTAATTTAATCGCCACGCTCCGATATCGCGTTGATTACGTCCTAAGGCCCTAGCAGACGTGACGTTCTCGCAAAATGGCCGCCAGTAGACTAAATGATATAGTCCTGCTCCCCACGGTATCGTGCCAAGAACGCTGGCTGCGTTTCCCCGCTGAATGGCTATACTTAGCCATTGAGCGAGAAAAGAACCAGCCCTCTTATCACCGGCAGCAACGACCAGCTGCGGATGGAGTTCCTTTAGGAACTCCACCGCCCGTGGAGCCCACAGACCGATAGTCTCTACAACAAATGGCACAAACATGTAGTCATCTCTCAGACTCATATTTGCGCCACTTACTCAGTTTAGCTGCCTCTGATGCCGCCCCGGCTCTAAACGAGGTACCCCTGAGATGAGAGGCCACCAGTGTCTACGCAAGTAGCATCCCACACTAGGGCTTTACCTCTTTCGCAAGAGGCCAATGTCATACCGTCGGGTCTCCTGCCATCGTCTATAAATATTCCACAAGGCTCTAAATGCACGGGAACATTTATAGAGACAAGAGCAATTCGGATGACATCGTTCAAAGAAATTGAATTGAATGATGTATAAATCTCTATATGATCCAATCTCTCCTTGTGCAAGTTTAAGAAATAAGTTGACAAAGTTTTAGCACTATCTGATGAACGGTATAACAGCGCATAGAATACGAGCAAATAAATATTATTTTTTATATATTAAACTAGCTAGTCATACCTGGTGCGTTATTGCCGCAGAATAATTGTAGAAGTATAATTTGGAAGATGTGTATTGTTTAAATAGGAATGATGTTTAGTACATTCATTGATGTTGAATGATATATAGCGTTACCGCTGCCCACGCCGGTGACGTCATCGCCCGGCCCTAGCAACCCGATAAGCGTGAAAGCAACGCGGAGTGTTCACTTTGTTAAGTTACCTTCACGATTTAATACAAGTTAGTCATAGATTCATGATAAGTCATCGCGCGCTCTGACTAGATACCGCCGGCGCTCATGTAAAATGCAGCAACAAATACTACGCCGAAATCGGCGTACCTAAGCCAGTCGCGTTGCAACGTGTGAGGTGAACGTACCGAATGTTTTATTAAATTTCTATCATAATCCGAAGTAAACTACCAGTTTTAGTATTGAAACTGTGTAAAAATAATACTACAAGAAATAAGAAAGACACTGGAATCACATACTATCATTAAGTATCATATAATTTCGAAATTTTAACATAAAATAACACGAGCCATAAATAAGTCACAAAATATAAATGACGCTATTCAGTGTTGCCGCGAATGCAAAAATAAACTTCCCCGTGGCTGAGATTTTTATGTGATTTATTGTTACTATATTTTATAATATAATATATAATTTAACTTATTATAATATAACCTAATTCTATATTATTTAATGTTTATTTCTATAGTATTGCTCGATGCGATTTGGAAGATAGATCTTTAGTAAAAGTTGTTCATATTGAAGCGGAGAATAGAAAGCACTATTTTGATTAAACCATATATATATAACTTTTTTTAAATAATTTGTGAATATTAGTCAGACATGTAAATAAAAAAAAATAAACTGATAAAAAGGAGGCCTTATTATTTATATGTCATTTATTCAGAAGAAAAACCTATACATAAAATACACAAATATATTGATACATTCAATATTAATAAACTATTCATTTTTAAATATTTCTGGAATACATTCATAACTATGAACTTAACTACTAAGCCATAGCATAAGATAAATTTTCCCCTGTAATCGGGTAATAGTTAAGCTACTGGCATATACAATTTTTCACGCACACTAGCGTCATGCAAATTGTCTTATACACACTACAATATTAAGATGCCGCATTCATGGAGCTGTTACTTGCAGGGAGCGCGGTATCTAGTCCGAGCGCGCTATGACTTATCATTAATCTATGAAGTTAGTGTTAACATAAAATTTATTATACATGCAATACAATTACATATTTAAATAGTAATAAGGTTAGTTACTATGGATGTGAAAGTATTATTAGCATTGTTAGGTTTGGAATATTTTCATTCAGAATATTCAAGTTACATTATTTAAGTTGAATGTAACTTTAGATGTATTGTGTTTTGTATTTTGCGTGTACTGCAGTTTCATTTAGGTTTAGGTAATTAGTTTAGTTATAATGTATTTCGTTTCATTTGAAATAGTTCCGTTGCAGAAGCATTGGTGCGAAATGTTTAACGACTTTTACTATGAATAATTATCAAGAAAAACCAGTTATTGTTTCTCAGGCTCACAATATTGTAGAGAATAAAGTGGATAATTTTCAAATATGGTTATATGTAATAGCCAGTTTTATGGGAGCAATAATATTGTATACTATTTGGGTGAAGTTTAATAAGAAGTTCAAAAACTGGCTTCGCCATCAAGTGTTAATATTTTGATTAAACCAACGTTCCAATGTCAGGCTAGAATATGGGTCAGATGATAGGCGCCTCTAGCGCCAGTCTGCAGCACGCGCCGGGCTTGCCGTGGCGGCCGCTCCCTTCGCGGGGGTCTCCGTACAGCCCTGCGCCTCAGCGCATTAACATGTCGCTCATTTGGAGCGACAGTGACATAACTGCAAATTTGTAAAATTTACACTACGCCAGTTTTAAGATATTTTCGTAACACCATTGAAGATTCCTTACTTTTCTTACAGTTACTGACTCTTTATCTATTTTATTATTGTAGTTTGAACTCTGGGCTTGAAAACAGACACATTTATTTTCTATATTCTTATTCAAAATAATGAGAAATAAATAAAAAACATTTTAACACTTACAGTTGCGTCGCTGTTGCCCTAGGCAAAGAAAGCTCGGGTAGTTATGACCTTCGTTGTCTCTTATAAAATAAAACCAATATCGTTCCAATCAACACATTTTGTATTATTTCAATAAAAATTAACAATGGCAGTCAGTGGTGACATAGTATGAATCATTTGTAGATGTCCTTCATCTTAATTACACTTTAATAGGAACTATTCAATACGAAATTAAACAATATAGTAGGTATATAAAATTAGTTTTTTAACCCTCTTAATAACTACTATCTAATATGGCACAGAAAAATCAGCTGTTTATAACAATATTCTTAAAATCTAAAAAATGTGCAGGGCACATTTAAAAAGTTATTCTTAAAAGTCAGTCTTAAAAGATCAGTAGAATGTTAGAACTATTTTTAAACATTTCAGTCTTACGTTCGTTTCATTAGACATACTACTTACATAAAAAATTAAAACTTAATAAAAACAATAAAAAAATTGTACCTACTCAGGTAACTTAAAACAAACTCTCGTAAAATCCGGAATAGCACCTGGGAACAATGTTTTTTTCTAACAAAGTACGCAAATCCTGCTTTTTTTGATCAGAAATCGTAAGTTTGGAATTGTAAGCTGCTCTCAAACGTATTTCAGTAATATTTAAATTATTATCGGACCGATTTTTTCGAGTATTAGTAGATGTTTTTGATTTGACAGTTATCCATTCACCCTCGTAAGAATATTTTAAATCGTAAGTCTCACTATTTTTAACAAATCGTATAGATTTTATTTCAGATAGTTTTATCTGGTTACCTTGCAGATCTTTGTTAACATTTAGTGTAATATCTTCAAATAGCTTTTTTAAATCATAAAAATCGTCATAGTTAAGCTCGTTTACTACAAAAGCATTCCCAGTTTTCTTGGTGTTGCGTATAAGTTGCACGTACTGGTATGGAATATAGATAGGACCTGACTTTTTTGCTCTTTTAATTGACTTTTCGATGAGCGAATGAGCATTGTCGCCCTCATTTTGAGTGTGCCCACGTATCAAAAATTTATGTGTGATTGAATTTATTGGAAGAGTTTCAACCGCATAGTAATACATGCCAAGCAGGAATCTGAAAAAGTAAAATATAACTTAAATACAGAAAAAATGGTTAATTTTAATTCTGTTTTTGTGCGAAAATAATGACTATAAATATACCTATTCTTTTGCTGACCACAGCAGTTGTCAGAATAAAATATTATATTGCTATTGGCATGACGCTCTGCAGTCTCTTTCAGAAATTTGAACACACAAGAACCAATTTCTATAGCTCCTCTATTGCCAAGACCCTCGTGCCAGAAATAGCAATTTGTTACGCTATCTTTTAAGTTTGTAACCTGTTAAAGAAATTTAATATTAGTTTTTTTTAAGCTCATACTCACTCGTGAATCCAAAGAAAATAAAATACTTACCGTAAAGTTTAGGCAGTTCAACTTTGATTTGTAAAAAAACGCTGAACTATTACCGATAGGTACAGGCATAACTGCCTGTAAATCGTATATTGCAACGATATTGTTACCATCTTCTTTTAGTAACTCAATATCCTTAGTTTTCTCTTTCCTACTTAAATCTTTTTGTTTTAAATGCTCTTCATAAGCTTCTTTTAATTTGAGTTGGTCTTTCCCGACAGCATTTTTATAAGACTCGCATAGATCACACTGATCTTTTTTGGGTACAAAAAATGATAGGTTAAATTCAGTGTTGAAAATTCGGTAATACGTGTCAAAAGTTGCCGATGGCATCGTTCCTCTACTAGATACGTAATTTCGATGCAGCTCTTTAACGGTAAGACCGCCATCAATAAATTCACGAGTTGTGTTAGCCCGAGTATAGTGGCTCTCAATTCTAGGCACGGAATTAATGTGATCGCGAACGGATTGCATGATTTCTGGGTTTACTTGATTATGATGAGCATGCTTGCCACGCTTGTCCTGAGGGATCACACCTGTACCAGAACTGTTTTTACCTTCAATAACCGTTCGCAGTGTTCGCTCTGATATACCCAAACTATTTAAAAAAAAAGTTTTGCACGTCCGTTTAGTTTCACCATTCACCGTGAAATTAAAAACACAATTTTGGTTCCTAGCTTTGGCAGCTCCTTCTTTTACTCGACGGTAGGGAACTTTCAAAGTTATTAAACAGGAGTTCAAAAAATCACGCTGTCTTTGTAGTGATCCCAAGCCCCAATAACATTCAAATATCTCCTGTCTTTGTTCCTCCGTTATTTTATTACGGCATTTGAGCCTACATTTTTCTGTGCAAGGTGGTTTAATAGATTTAGCTGCAACAGTTTTGCCAGTTCTAGATACGTATTGTTCTCCAGAATTTCGCTGACGTTTTCGTACATTTTTTATCCATGCAGATTCATTACGAACTCTCTTCTTGCCTCTCTTGGTAACTGCAGTCTCGGAAGGTAGCGCTAAATCTTGGCTGGTATCTATAAAATTGGAATTTCTGACGGAATCATGAGTAATCGATGTTGATGGTGAGCTAGAAGTAGTACCAGATGAACTAGACGATGAAGTTGAGCATGAAGAGCCCGAAGATGAGTTAGATGACGTTGAATTAATACGGTTGCGTTGTACAGATTTCTCTGGCTTATATTCATCACCACTATCGTCTGGAGAAAAGTCTTTAGTTTCGTCTTCACTATCGTTTTCGTTGTTTTCTAGGAGGATCGGTGACGGATCCGCCTTATTTAGAGAAGAAATAACATTTTCTGTCACAATCGATGCTAAAATAAACTACTGAGTATTCCGATCCAAAAAAACATTCCTAAAACAGAAAAATCCTACTACTCATTCAAAAAAGACTATTCTTTAGAAAATATTAAAAAGTTTAAGGAATGCTTGAATAGCCTCTCTTGGTCTGAAGTATATAGTGAACCTAACTTGAATATAGCCTTCAATAATTTTCATTCGAACTTCAAGTTGTTCTACGATTTGTGTTTCCCAACTAAAAAAGTAAAGGTTAATAACTCAAATAAAAACAATCGCATGTGGTTTAGTAAAGGCTTACTAAAAAGTTGTAACACAAAGAGAAAACTCCGATATAACTATTATACACATAAATCAGCAAGCAATAGACAGAAATATTTTACATATTCAAATATCCTAAAAAAATGTATAAATAAATCTAAGAGACTTGCAAACATTAAATTTATTCAAAACAGTAATAATAAATGTAAAGCAACGTGGTCTATAATAAAAAATGAAATAGGTATAACACAAAGCGAAGCTTCTGTTGACTATCTAAAAATTGACGACTCCGACATAGCAAACCCGGAAGAAATATCCCAAATATTTAACAACTACTTTACAAACATCGGAAAAATTTGTATTAATAATGTAAACAATGCTGAAGGCTCTTATATTACGAACAATTTTAACTTAAGCACAATGTTCCTTAAACCCATGTCAGCAAATGAAGTAAAATTAGAGGTAATGACCTTAAATAAAACCAACTCTGTAGGCTACGATGGCATAAATACACACATATTGAAGTCATGCATTGATAAAATAATTGACATTTTGACTCATCTTGTCAATTTGTCATTCTCATCAGGAAGCTTTCCAGAAACATTAAAGTCCTCCATTGTAAAGCCTATACACAAACGTGGCAACAGAAACGTTGTTAGCAATTATCGCCCAATTACCCTTGTACCTATACTTTCAAAAGTATTTGAAAAGTGTATGTATAAAAGGCTCCTAGAATTTTGCAATAAGTTTAACATTATAAATAAAAATCAATATGGCTTTCAAAAACATAAATCGACTAACTTAGCTATTCATCACCTAATCAATACATTGTTGACCAATATTAATGATAATTATTTGACTACGGGACTGTTTTTTGACTTGACTAAGGCATTTGACTTCGTATCACACGATCTATTATTAAATAAATTGGAAAAAATAGGAATAAGGGGTATTACGTTGCAATGGATTGCTTCGTATTTAACAAATCGTACTCAATGTGTCACGATAACAAAACTAATCAATAAAGAATTAAGAACATATAAATCCAACTGCATTGAAAATATTAATGGTGTTCCACAAGGCAGTATCTTAGGGCCCATATTATTTATATTATATATTAATGACATATCTGATGCGACAAGTCATGAATGTATTACATACGCTGATGACATTTCGGTTATAGTTAGGACTAAAAAAAATAAGAATTCAATATATAATCACGAATTGGACATAAATAATACAATTGATAATATAATTGAATGGCTACAAGCTCACAATTTAAAAATTAACTTGACAAAATCAAATTTTATTCAGTTTAATAAGTCAAAACATAACCAATACAATTTCAAGCTAAACATTACAAAAATCAATCAAATAGAAAAAACAAAATTTTTAGGTGTTGTCATAGACCAGAATCTGAACTGGAAAGCACATATCGATGAAGTTTGTAATAAAGTAAACAAATGTTGTTACGCGCTCAACCAAATAAAAAAAGTGACTGACATAAAAACATCTGTTATGACGTACCGAGCATATGCCGAGTCTATACTCCGTTATGGACTGGTGATGTGGGGAAATAGTTCGGATTGGAATCGGGCTTTTATTGCGCAGAAAAAATGCATTAGGGCAATCTGCGGAGTCCGACCTGATGAATCGTGTCAGCCTCTATTTAAAGGTCTTGGAATACTGCCACTACCAACGATATATATTTTAGAAGTTTGTGTTTTTGTGCAGAGACACAAACAATTATTTGAAAAAGCTTGTGAGGTACAGACTACTCGCTCACGTAGGGACCCACACAAGCTAGTACTTAAGGATATACCTAAATCACAAAAATATGGCAAAAGTTGCCTTACCATGTGTGTCCGAATATATAACAAGCTCCCTGACGAACTTAAAACCCTAAATATTACATTGTTCAAAAAGAAATTGTACAAATGGCTGAATGAAAATAATTTCTATAGTGTAAAACAATTCTTAGAAAAAAATTAGATTATGTACTGGATAACATTTATTTAAAAAAAACATTTAATTATTGTAATAAATATAAAATAATAAAATATAGTATTGTACAATATATCTTTGATTAAGCTGTGCAACTATTATTAGGTATTGAAATTGACATGTAATTAATTATTATAATATTATTTCTCTTTGTTAACTAAATCAGGTGACTAATGTACTTCAAATAGTTAAAGAAAATTTGACATTGTTTAAATATATTTGCATGCTATGTAAAATAAGCAAAACATGAGCGCTCGATTTTTACCTGTGAACAACATATATACCATGTTTTACGCAAATAAAGATTATTATTATTATTATTATTAATAAACAAACAATAATTTAAATAAAATAGTTAATCCGAATACAACTACAACAATGTACAATCACAAGAATATAACTTTGCAAATAAACGTAAGTAATGTAGAAAAACCGACTTACGTTGACTAGAGCAAGCAGTATCAATGTTTGAAATAATGTTGCTGACGTCTTGGTTTTGTTCTGCAGAAAATATCTCTGTAATTTAGCAAAGAAATGTTAAAACTTGACAAACATTATTATTAAAACCAACAAAAATATTAACGTACTGAGTATTTATTTACCATTTGCACTAGTAGAAATAACAGTTTTTGAAGGAAGAGACTGGTCCCCAATACTATCAAATTTTGAACATTCTTGCTCACAAAGTTTGACTAACATTCGTGCTCGACTTCCCATTTTGATAGCTTAAAATATATAACAAATTAACATAATTAAATTTGGTCTAAAATTATTACAATTAGTCATAATTGTTATTGGTAAAAAGGCATTACAGTACAATAATGGCGTATTTATATTTACGTCTAAAAAAATACCGAATGTTTGGTGATACAACGGCGCAATTGTATAATACGACATTGTGTCCACAAAACTGTTTTCATTTCTAGTTGATATTGTCAGAAAATACAATTGCGTCGTTGTAGCACCGATGTTTAATAGCAAAATTTGACATATTTACCTTCGCGCCGATGTAGCTCCCTGACACATGCACACTTAGCGGAGCGCCCCGCACAACTGACTGTTCGGTCGTTATCGCCCGGTATTCGCGCGCCAAAATGTAATATTTCGACAACGTCTTTTGCCTTCTAGCGAGCGTTTTTTTTAAATAACAAATGTTGTGTTTTAACTCCATAACGTAGATAGGTATGGAGATAGTTTTGGTGTAATTAGGTCAAATTCGCCTTTTTTGCAGTTATGTCACTGTCACTCCAAATGAGCGATGTGTTTATATAGTTTTAAGGTTTTGTATTATTTTTGTAAAGGGGGAAGTATTGTAGGTGTGCTGCGCCCACACACATGTATAATTAGTAATGTTGTACCTATATACCATATATATATGTATACTTAATAATATTGCACCTCTCTACTTAGTACTAAGTATTTCATTCAGTCAGCCAGTAGCTAGTTGCCCACCAACTGTATTACACGCTCCTCTATAATAAATATGTCATAAAGTTATGCAATCTTTCATTAAGGTCACCCGTAGGGACCCATATGGAGTCAGCTCCGAAAGAATGATCTATAAATCTCAAATATATTGTCGGTGCGACACGCGCGTGTTGTATTTATTAAAATCTAGAGTCACAAAGAAAAATCTTTGAAATATATAAATTATAATTTACTGTCTTAATGTTGAATGTAGGGTTACAGGAAACGGCTTTGGGATAGGAAAGAATAATTCTATTCAATATAGTACTTTTAATAATGGTTCAAAGAAAACCTCTGTCCTGAGAAGAACCAGCAAGAAACCCAGCGGGACATTTCTTTTAAATAAAATATATTTACAATATGTTGTTTTGTACATATTAGTATGAACACAACAACAATACATAAATCTTAAATACACATGTCACAAAATGCAGGTCAATAACACCAAAATACATAAGTTGTTTAGCATAGGAGCCTTTCGGCTCCTTATCAGCAGACTGGCTGAGTTACCCCTTTCACTTGTTTACTTGTTGGCGGTTATGAAACTACTCACTGAACTGTTCCTCACAGCCGACCTTTAAACACGTCAATATTAGGTTCGCCGTAAACTTGTCAGCTTCCGGCATCTGTAGTTACTATTTAGTTGCCATTTATTTATTCGCATCAAATTATCTTATAAATCCATCAAATGACAGTAATAATTTAAATAATTAGTCAGCCCTTAATTATTCAATAAGCTAGTGAACCAAGAACCGCAAGTAGATAACATGATACAAACTTAATTTAAATCGTAAGTACTAACATTTTCGTTTTGTGGGTAAGTAGTAAAATAAAATATATCAACTATCTTACAAACCAGTTATTAAATTACCTACCCATTCCACTATCTATAATAAACTAACACACGCCACGTTCAAGAAATGTGCACGTTCAAGAAATAAGTTGACAAAGTTTTAGCGCTATCTGATGAACGGTATAGCAGCGCATAGAATATGAGCAAACAAATAATATTTTTATATATTAAACTAGCTAGTACTACCTGGCGCGTTATTGCCGCAGAATAATTGCGGAAATATAATTTCGAAGATTTGTATTGTTTAAATAGGAATGATGTATAGTACATTCATTAATGTTGAATGATATATAACTTTTAAAATATTTTTTTTCTTGCAATACGCGTGCCACCTAATGTAAGTTAATTCTACTATACCCATAACCTTCGCGCAAGTGAAAAGCAATAATTTGACAAAGTTTTACCGCAATCTAATGAACGGTATGGCAGCGCATAATATACAAGCAAACAAAATTAATTTTTATATATGAAGATTTTATATGTGCTAGAGCCACGCTGTATTTATATTAAGGTTGTAGCATGAAAGGGTCGGCTCGACTGGGGAAGGACCACGTTTTCACAGAATACCAGCGTAAAATAGCAGATTAAGGCTGCTGTGTTTCGTAATCGAGGATAAATGTAGATGTCTATGGGCCACAACATCCACTTTCCATATGGTGGATGGTGTGCTCGTTTGTGCCTTGTAATTCAATAAAAAAAAAACAGTTTTCCTTAAAGTAAATGGATGTTGTGACTCTTAACCATATCTTTTATCGATTAAGAATTAAAATGCACATACTTTGTCTTTTAGAGCAAAGCCTTTATTTATTGCGTAATAAAACTTAATTACATTACACGCGTTATACTTTTTTCTTTTTCGACTTATTGTTGTAATAAAGAAGTTCAAAGAATATTTTTGGTATTTTAATTTAATCTAGATATTGAAGCTACCTGAATAAGAAGCTGTAAAGGGAAATTTGATGAAAACCCCGATTAATTAACAAGAACTAGTCCCGAGAGAGCAATACGGGACGGGAACTTTATAATTTCTCTGCCAAATATTTGGTTTATTGTAAATAAATTTGAAAAAGACAAATTAAATATTATATTTCGTTTTAAATGTTTTTTTTTTGTAGCAACGAAAAGGCAAAATATAATGACGAGCTTTCAGTGGGGCAGGGTAAATTGGCATTCATGCCAAACACAAATGTTGTTGTAATACAGTGCTCTGAGTGGCGGCCGATGAAAATGTTTGAAAAAGCCTTAACCTTCGCTCTGCTCGTGGAGTGCTCGGCAGGCTATACAACGTGTGCATTCGGCATGAATACGGAGTGACTGCCACTCAACATACTACTATACAGGAGCGTTCTATATCGTCACTCCATTTCTCCACGTAGGTTAACATATTAAAATATAATGTTATTCAACATGTGTGAAGAAATTTGTAATAATTCGAAGAAGGAAATAATCTAAAAATGTTTCTCATACCGATAATTCTATTTTAAATATATAAACTGTAGCGGATTTATACATCTCATTGCTGTTTTTTTGTAAAGTATTTTGAATTAAGGAAAACAGAATGTAACGTTATGAAGTTTCATTTTGTTACCGTAACGGTGCAATTAAAAGGAGAAATACTAAGTACGGGCGGAATTTGTCGTTCTAATGAGTTTACATTATTTAAAGTAATGTTGTGTATTTTAACATAAAATTTCTAAACAGCAAACTCCGTGCCCATGTTTTAATATTTGTAAAAATGACATTAAAATAGAGTTTATATATTTTAAAATATAAACATACTATAGGTATGACACTAAAAGATCGTAATTTAATTGAACGGAAGGATTTAAAATTAAATCAATATAGGTAAGGAAGTTATCATTTACAAAAAATTAAATCATCATCATTATTTACAGAATGTAACTTAGTAGCCACCTGATTTTATCGACTCTCATTTTATTTATCAGCTAAACATAATTTCATCTAGTGACGGGATCGTCCAAAACTACGAGAAACGGTACTAAGTGTTCACGTGCGTGAAGTTATAAAAAGAAGAAGCTCTAAAATAAATATTTTTAATGACAACACCAATGTTGTAATATAGAGTTAATTCTTTGGTACTTGTATACGACCGTCTTATTTTTTTTTATTGGATAAGGGTGACAAAAGAGTACATAGTTCACCTGATGGTAAGTGGTTGCTGTGGTCCATAGACATCTACATCTATCTTCGATTACGAATGAAAATGCAGATACATTGTCAGCCGTGAGGACTAAGATGAAATGCCTCGTTTCCAGTAAAAAGGGTCTCCGTTTCTCTACATTTACTAAATACAGCGTAAAATAGCAGCATTAAGCTGCTATTTTACGCTGGTATTCTGTGAGAGCGTGGTCCTTCCCCGGTTGAGCCAACCCATTCGTGCTACAACCATAACGTGGTTGCAGCATGGCTCTACCACATAAAATATTTAAAACAGTCATTAAAATTATTATTCGAGCTCCAAAAGTTTGTCGTTTTGTGAAACGAACATAAAAGTGACAAGACTTATAGAAATTAAATTAAATTTTTTTCCTGCTTTTGAAATTGAGCTGGCTGCTAAAGTTAAATGTTGACTTGTCTCACCGAGTCAATGACTAAAATTCACGCTTGAGAACAAAGGTTTAGTGCTATTTCGACTGGAGCTACGAGCCGACAGATAAGCCGTCACTTAGTGTTGGGTCAATATCAGAAATATTATGAAATATCGGAACTTCGTTTTCTCATGCTGAATTTAAGTGAAGACCAATTTAATCAGATTGTGTGTGTTGATTCGTGCCTATCATACTAATCGATGCAATTACTGATTATTATTGAACAAAAGTTAACATAAACCAAGACGGAAATATTGCTAATACGAGTATCTGTATCTCAAGTAATGGGTAAATAACAACTACAATTATTGTTTCATCTGGTAATCTATTTGTGAGCTAAAATATACAAATGAAGTCTTGTTAAGTGTTGATTTAAATTACAAGTTTTGTACCTATTATGTTTACTGCTTGCTTGTAGGATGTAGGATACATGAAAACGTGAAAAGGGTCCGTTTATGTTAGGGATAAGCATGTCGAGACACTGTAGGGAGCAAGCAAACAGATTTATCTTAACCGTCTTTGGAAGCTTAGGAACTCGTAAATTTTACATATAAATTAATTTTGTTAAGGTCAGTGGAGCCACTGTATTGCTCTTTCTAAACATGAAATTGGTTCATAATCCATTATTTTATAAGAAAACTTAATTCTATTTTTCACGGTACTTTACGATAGCTAAATGGTAAATTTATTTAACATTAAAATAATTATAATATTTTTCCGACCGAATTTATGTCACGGTGTCGAGTCTCAATTAGCCATATGCTCAGAACAGAAATGGAGGGAAAAGCAATCTGACACGACAAGTGAGATATCAGGAGCAGAACCCCACAGCCTTAGCCGTACTTTCTGAGGCCCGGAGGTGAAACACCTCCAACTTTTTGAGTATGAGCTTATACTAGAATTTTTTGACAGAAAAACCTTGTTCTTAATAGAATCAGGCGTTACTTTGCAGAAATCTATTATATTAAATATGTTAAAAATTATTTAGTTAAGATCCGCGTTATAAAATAAAATTGTCTTACATACCTAGTTTGAAGAGCATCTCTCACCCTCTCTTAATTGCGTGCACTATCACCGTCATCAGTAATCTCAGTACCACTACTCCCAAAACGACTACACTAGGAAA